AAGGACACTAGCTAAATGCTAAAAACAGCAGGACACTAGCTAAATGCTAAAAACAGTTGGACACTGGCTAAATGCTAAAAACAGTAGGACACTTGCTAAATGCTAAAAACAGCAGGACACTGGCTAAATGCTAAAAACAGCAGGACACTGGCTAAATGCTAAAAACAGCAGGACACTGGCTAAATGCTAAAAGAGAACAGTAGCTAAATGCTAAAAACAGAACACTAAAAACTACTTTATACCAGCTAAATGTTAAAAGCAGTACATAAGCTTATTGTTAAAATCTACCAAACACTACCTAAATGCTAAAGGCAGCATTGTGCTAGTTAAATTCTAAAGACAGAATTAAAACAGCTAAATGCTAAATACCAGCCTAATGCTAAAAGCAAAACACTAGCTTTATGCTAATAACAGCATTATATCAACTAATTGTTTAACTAGCTTATTGCTAGAAGCAACAGAATGCTAGCTAACTGTTAAAGGCATCATTGCTCTAGCTTAATGCTAAACACCAACTTCATGCTAAAAGCAGAACACTTGCTGTATGCTTAAAGCAAAGCACTGGCTATGTGCTAAAACCAGCAGTACACTAGCTTAATGCTAAAGGCATCATTGTACTAGCTAAATGCTAAAGACAACATTATAACAGCTAAATTTTAAAACAGTACACTAGYTTACTGTTACAAGCAGCAAAACACCAGCTAAATGCGACAAGCAGCAGCACACTAGTTAAATGTTTAAAACTGCATTATACCAGCTAAATGTTAAAAGCAGTACATTAGCTTATTGCTAAAAGCAGCAAAATGCTAGCTAAATGCTAAGATCAGAACTAAACCAGCTACATGCTAAAAGCCAAAGACCAGCTTAATACTAAATGAAGCAAAATTCTAGCTGATTTTTAAAAGCGTAACACTTGATTTAAAAAAATGCACGTAGCAAAAGGTTAGCCACAAGCTAAAGTAGCATAAGGAGGTTAAACAGCTGGTAAAGTTGAATTATCTTCACTTCCTCAGTTTGAAAACATTCATGAGCAGCAGAACTAAACCTTTGTTAGCTCAGAGGGCAGAACGTTAGCCCTGAGCTGGTTTTCGGCTGTGAACTAAGCTCATCCAGCGACTCCACAGCCGAAAGGTTAACAAAGTGCTGAAAACCTGTCCTCTGCAGCTCTGTCCGCAGGTCTCCAGGGTCAGAGCACCTCCTCGGTCAGCTCTGACATCAAGTCCGAGGACGAGGGAGACGAGAACCTCCTGCAGGATCCCAAGTCCCTGGACCCGAAGAAGGAGGACCTGGACAGCAAGGAGCTGAAAGCGATAGAGAGGTCAAGATCTAGGTAACCCCGCCCACCTGCCAGACGTTCGCTTCCATCAAACCCCTCAGCTGGACTGGCACCCACGTCTTCCCAAAACCCCTCGGAGCTCGCGAGTCCGCCCCGCCTCTGGCTGGTGGTCCAAGGACTCAGAGCTCCGGGGCTTTTAGGAACCAGCCTCTGAACTTTGATGAAGTGATCGAGTGATGAGGAGCAGCTGAAAACACCAGAGACGCCTACTTCCTGTCCACCGAGCGTCTGTTTCCCCCCTGCTGATGATGATGATGATGATGGTGGAGGGTCGTTTGGACTCCAGACAGCAGAGGAGGACTCAGAGGTTCTGGTTCTGGACTCACGGGTCTCTCCAGGTCTTGAGTCTGGTTTTAGCTGTTTCTCACACATCAGAGTAGACCCCCACAAAATCCTCCAAGTTCTGCTTCACTGCCTCAGAGCGGGAAACCAACAGGAAACAGATGACTGTCAAAATAAAAGTCCTTCCAACCGTATATCAAACCAACTAATCATCCAACCATTTATTCATCCAACCATTCATCCATTTATCCATTCATCCAACCATTTAACCATCCATCCATCCATTTATCCATCCATCCATCCATCCAACCATTTATCCATCCAACAATTTATTCATCCAACCATCCATTTATCCATTCATCCATCCAACCATTTATCATCCATCCATTCAACCATTTATCCACCCAACAATTTATTCATCCAACCAACCATTTATCCATTCATCCATCCATCCTTCCAACCATTTATCCATCCATCCATCCATCCATTTAACCATTTATTCATCCAACCATTCATCCATTTATCCATTCATCCAACCATTTAAGCATCCATCCATCCATCCAAACATTTATTCATCCAACCAACCATTTATCCATTCATCCATCCATCCAACCATTTATTCATCCAACCAACCATTTATCCATTCATCCATCCATCCAACCATTTATTCGTCCAACCAACCATTTATCCATCCATCCAACCATTTATCCATCCATCCATCCAACCATTTATCCATCCATCCTTCCATCCATCCAT